GTGTGTTTATTTTTATGCTAGCACCAATTATTTTGATTTTGATGGCTTCATGGTAAATTTTAAAATCAATATATCATGTGCATGTATGAAACTGTCAAAGAAAACAATCTAATTATTAACTTAAAAAAAGGTGAGGCTGACAACATTATATTCTTTTAAATTTAAGATGGTTTTGGTTTTCAGGACCACTTACCAGGTTATTTCAGTAGTAATCACTGTTTGCTAGGGCTTGGACTGAATCTGTGAACTGTTTGAGATCATGCTGATTTCTTAAGAGAAGTCTTCCATGAACTCCATGTTGTAGGGTAAAAGGGCCAGCCAAAGAAACACACCCTGGACTTGAACCAGAGCCAAAGAAACACACACTGTTCCTGACCAAATCGTAAAGTACAAATACCAGTCAAATCTCTGAGTACAAAACCAGCCAATCTCTGAGCATGAAATGAGCCAATCTCTGAGCTTGTTGAAACTCAGGGATTGAAATCTGACCAATTCCCACTCTGAAAATCACCCTGGAAAAACTCTGTCCCTGAGAAGTCCTATATAAGCCCTGTACCTGCTCAGTTGGGAGCTGCCTTTTTCCACCCTGGCCTCCTGGATTCTTCCCTCCCTATAAATCTCTTGGACGAGGTTTGGGTGAGACCTTCTTTTGGAGGAATATAGCGGGGCAGGGAAGTAACAACTTTCCCCATTTCTTGGAGCCACAGTGGAGAAGAGCAGAGTGGTAAGAACTTTGCTGGGGAAACTCCCCCTGCCGGAGCACAGGTACTGCACTGGGGAACCCTTCCCTGGAGCAGAGCTGTAAAGTGGCCATGCTTTAGGGTGACTCTGTGTTGTTCCTTGGCTCCTAACAGCCAGGACCCTTTCCATTAGAGCTGCAATGCTTACAAGTCTGTTGGCTGACTTTTTTGTAGTGCTGTCCTGACTTCCTTCTCTCTTTCTGTATAGTTTTTAATGCATTGTCTTTGGTTACTGTGACAAGTGTACAACATTGAGAGCTGTAATTAAGACCAGCTCCAGTCACATTGGAGATGTCGCTTTATGGCCTCCCGGACCGGAAGGCTCCAGTCCTTCAGTTTTGGTTTCTTGAGTGTGTAAGCATCCCCAGCTCTCTTCTGTACTAGCGAGAGCACAAATAACAACCAGTTATTACCACAGATTTATAATTTTAAAAATTCTGTATAAAAATAGAAGTTATAAATCAAGGTTGCAATATTTGCCTATATATTATTATTGAACTAGTTAGTTTGCTATTTCTAAGCCCCTCAAGGCATATGAGTGCCTATGCCCCTCCCCTGAGGACCTTAAACTGCCAGGTTCCACTCAGAGAACACTCTGTAATTGCCCTAACAGCCAGATGAAACTCCCACCCTACAAATAGACTTGAAACCCATTCAATCCCCACCCTGGAAAGCTTCACAAAAGTTCCAGCCTCCCCACAAGAAACTATACAAACCTTGCCTTTTGCTCAGTTTTCTGCTGTTTCTTACCGAAACAGAGTCAGCCACTTTCCAGTTTCTTTCCCACTCCCAATAAACCTTTTGTGTGAGTTTTGTTGTGTCACCGGCATGACTTTGTGGTATTTCTTGGCTACTAATTGCCAGGTGCCTTTCCATCTGAGTTGCAGCATTTACACTATTACTATGACAAACTGCCTGAGACAATCACTTTAGTTAAGGGAAAATGTTTACTCAGTTGATGGTTTCACAGGTCCTGTTACTGTGGCATGAGACCGTCCTGGTAGATGTGTATGGAGGAGATGGCCCGCTACCTCGTGGTAACTTGGAAGCAGGGGAGAGAGTACAAGAGTGGACACGGCAAACAGCTTAGCAGGGCTGTTGGTTAACAGCTCCTTCTTGAAATACTAGGCTTTGGGAGCTCACAGAAGCTCATACGTTGGACAGCATGGTGATGAACTAGATAGAGGACTAAGAAACCCCGAGAGAAGAGTCTGCAGACAAAAGGGGCAGCAACCCTTGCACCACATGTAAAACCACTGCTCATGAGCGGCTTAAGCATTAAACAAGCTGCACTCCATTTGCAGTGCGTCCTCTTTAAGGATGGAATGAGTTCTAAAGCTGAAAATTACCTAGCGGGGATCTCTGTGTTCAGTTTTCACTGTTAATCTGTGGTTTCAGTGACTATGCTGCTTTCAGGCCCATGACAGGGGAGAACTACGGTGCGGAAAGGAGGGCGGAGAGGCTGGGGACAGACAGACTCTTTCTCCTGCCAGGCCTCACCTCCTAACAGCCCATTTGGCTATGAACTTCTGATGAACTCTGTGCCTTCATGATCCACTCAGCTCTCAAGCCCACCAGCTGGCAGCGTTGCATACACAGGCCTTTGGGGGACCTTAACAATCTCCTAAAGTGTCTCATTCATGAAATCAGTAAATATGTGTTGTGTGTTGGGCTTGTTTATTCTGTGTTTCTATAAAATAAATGCCTATCTTGTAGTCTCAGAACTTGATATCTGGCGAGGAGCAATATGTTAAGGTCCTTTCCCTTGAAGGAAATGGAAGAGTAATTATATTTAGGTAGGTAAATATTAATAGATTTTACATATGCGTTTAAATGTGAAATACTCTTCATGAGCCCCCATGCTTAGTCCTGAGTAGGTGGAGGTATCTGGAAGGTTGTGGAACCTTTAAGAGGTGGAGACTTACTGGAGGAAGTGGGTCACTGGGGGGTCATCCTTGAGCTTTTATAGGCTGGCCTGCTTCCTAGTCACTCTTTTCCAGACTGCAATGCAATGTGAAGAGACAGTTCTCCTGTTGCCATGCCTCTTCCTGACACACTACAAGCCAAAACAGACCCTTTCTCCTTAAGTTGCTCCTGTCAGGTCTTTGCTCACAGTCATGAGAAAGGGAACCAAAAAAAAAAAAAAAAAAAAAAAAAAAAAGAAAAAAAGAAAGAGAAGTAAAAAAACCTGAAACCTGGAAAAGCTGGGTGTGGAGGCAGATACAGGCAGATCTCTGTTGAGTTTGAGGCCAGACTGGTCTACAGAGCAAGTTCCAGCTACACACAGAGAAACACTGTCTTAAAAAACAACAAAAAGAAACCTGGGAAAATACAATAAAGTTCAAAAATTGTCAAAATAAAAGTTATCAATTCTAGAAGATGAGAAAATCTGAGACTTTACTGACATAAGGCTTACTTCTGTACTTCATTGAAAAGCTGACAACAGAACAGACCCTGACAAGGTTACTACAGCACTACTGAGGGCTTCCTGTTCCCAGCTGCCAGGCTCGTGCAGACACACGAGCACACGTGTAAGAACCACACAGAGGCTAGACACTGCCTGCAAGGTGACACGACTGTGGAGCCATCCTTGACTGTGGAGCAGGTGCCCAGTGCTGCAGTCACCCTGACGGCAGGCGAGGCTCAGTGCCTCCGTGCAGGAAGCAGGCTGAGGCTCGTGTGCACTGCTCTGGCAATAAGCAATCTGTCCTTATTCTCTGACAGACATTGCCATTTCCCTCCACGGGCGTCACAGTGCCAGCCTGGCAGGACTGCCTCTGGTTAAAGTTTCTCACATCAGCCTGGAGAGGGACCAACTTTCATGAGCAAAGAAAGGGCCTGGGTGTGACTGAGAGAATGGTAATCTCTCTAGCAGGGAGAGCCTCTATGGTCCTTACTTTCCTTGTTGCTGTGACCAAATACTTGCCTAGGAGCTGAGGAGGAAGGGGTATTCTGGCTCACAGTCTTTAGAGACAGCCCATCATGGTGGAGAAGGCATAGCAGTGGGAGGCTACTTGTGTATATCTGGTGGCAGAACCAATAAACACCTGGCTTCTTTCTGATTTATCCAGTGGGACCCATCCACGGGGCGGCACCACCCTGCGCGTCCTCTCTTCAGCTACACAGCTCTGGGAAACACCCTCAGCAGATGCTTTCTTGCTTGTATCTCCAACCTGATTCCAAATCTAGTCAACCTGACAATAAGGATCAACCATCACAGCCCCAAGTAGCCATTACCAGGGGGTGGAGGTGACAATCCTGTTACCAAAGCTACAGCCACGTGAATGCCTGTCTTACAGCTTGACCTACTCAGACATAAGCAGAAAAGTAACTCAGATGGCTAAGAAAAACTCTTTTCTAAAATTTATTTACTTACACACTTGGCATTCTTTCTAGGCCTACTTTTAAAGCTTAAGCCAGGGTGAAGCAAGTTGGGGCAGGCCTCCCTTCTCTCCATCTGCTCAGAACTCAGTGTGTCACACTTCTTAACCCTCAGTTTTGGCCGGGCGGTGGTGGCACATGCCTGAAATCCCAGCACTCGGGAGGCAGAAGCAGGCAGATCTCTGAGTTCAAGGCCCACCTGGTCTACAGAATAAGTTTCTAGACAGTCAGGTCTTGAAAAAAAACAACAACAAATAGTAAAAACAAAACAAAGAAACTTCAATTTCCTTTCAGGTCCTGTCTCAGCAACGCTGAGCCTGGACAGAAGATCTGGACCATCACTGCCCATGCCATCTGCCCTGGGCTTCTATCGCTGTGAAGAGACACCATGACCACAGCAATTTTTATGATGGAAACATTTAATTGGGTAGATTACAGTTTCAGATTACTGTCATGGTGGGACATGGCAGTGTGCAGGCAGACGGTGCTGGAGAAGGAGCTGAGAGTTCTACAGCTTGATCTGCAGGCAACATGAGGTGAACTGACACTAGGTGTAGCTGGAGCATAGGAGACCTCAAGGTCCACTCCCACAGTGACACACACTGCTACTCTTTATGAGCTTATGGGGCCCAGATACATTCAAATTAACACACCAAACATCTACAGATTTTCAAGTCATTCGGAAAGCTTAATTAAATCAGACTTTATTGAGCACCAAAAGCTAGACTAGTGTGTGTACATTAGAACTATTAAGTGAGAGCCAGTTGTGCACTTTTACAGTGTCTGACTCACAGGCAGGAAGCATCAGTAATTTCAGATTTTTCTTCTGGTAAAAATATTGTCTTGACACAGTCTGCAAGAATGTTAGGAAGGTCTTACCTGGGCCGGAGTGTTCGCAGTCCCAGGAGGTGGTGAGGCACTGACTTTTGGCTCACTGGGGGATGCTGCTGAGCCCTGAGACTCCTGGCTTGCTGGCTGGTCTGGAGACAAGGCATCGCTGCTGTCTTCATCAAATGAGAACTCCCTGTGCATGTGGGGATAGTCCTCCTTCACCACCCCTGCAGAGAGAACCCCAAGGCTGACTGAGAAAGGGGAGTTTTAGAAGCTGCTTTAAAGCTTGGCTCTTCCCAGATGGAAGCCACACTGCTACAGAACTGGAGGCTGTTCTAGCAGGAACCACAGTTTGTCTGTCATGTACTCTTTGGGGTTTGATGTTTTTCTAGCCAGATCAAAGATTTCGGGTCTAGCTAGCAGCTGTGGGAAGGGTAGGAGTGCTCTGCTGTTGCTTTTGTTCCTGCGGTGCTGGGGATGGAGCTCAGGGCTCGGCACCAGCAGGCCATGAGGTCAGAGCACCAGCACCGCTCTGCAGCCTGGCCGGGAGGGGAGGCTTCTCCATGACACTGAAGAACACCGCAGCAAGATCCAGGATGCAGGGCACAAGCCTGTTCTTTAAAACAGAAGCAGCACGGTGTGCCCGCTCACAGAGTCATATTTAAGAAATGCTTGGACCTTATTCCTTTAAACCTCCAACCTGGAACCCAAATGTGAAAAACGGAGGAAGCGGAAGGGAAAGGGAGAGTGTTAAGGCAGTCTGCATGCTAGCTTTCATTTCAAGGGACAGCACACCTACACTCACACTTTCCTTACCTTGGAGGCTATCTTCCCTAATGTTTGGAATCAGAGTTGACTTCCTGTTTCAGAATTCTGTAATTACAAACTTCCTAAACTTTAGACCCACACTAGCTCAGTATGAAGTCCTCAGGAGTACGAGAGCTGTACTAGTTAGTTTTTCAGTTAGTATAAAACAAGCAAAAGCAAAAATCCCCGAAAACAACAACAAAACTGTGCTGAATGAGTATCATCCTGGCCATCCGCTGTGTGTTAGAGTGGGCCTGGGTTCAAGTAACAAGAACAGAATGAGCAGCACAAGCCAAGTGTAAGAGCAGGTGAGGCAGACAGATGCTACTTCTCTTCAAGAGTGCAGGAAATCCACAGGCCATTCTCCTTGCCTGTAAAGCTTATTACCTTCCTAGATAGTCATAATGAACAGCCTAACAATATTAAACAGTAGAAATGAAATGGTACAATACAGTAATTTATCTTAGATGTGTGATAATGGTATCAGAAGTCACTCTGACATAAAATGGAAATCCATGCTACTGGCAGCAGAGGCCATTTTCTAATCTATAACAAAACAGTTGCAACAAAATAGATGTTTATCAGCTTCTAGTTAACCAAGAAAATAATGTCCTTGCATTTTAATCAAATCTGTAACTGTTACTCTTGCCTATAATTGCTTCCTTGACACTCGAGTCCACAGGAAGAATGTTCTTCTCCACCAGCTCCATGGGTCCAGGCCTTTGAGCGATCTTCTCGTTCAGGCCGTCTGCCAGTCGAGCTCTCTTCAGCCTCATCTGCGTGGCCTGCAGAGACGGCTCTGCAAATGTTTCTGCAAGACCAAGTGTAAGCTTTAACCATGGCACCTATCAGGCCAAGTAACCGAATTGAACTACTTTAACAGGGTTACACTCTGCAAGGAGAGAGTGACTGCTCAGAGTGTGTGGTAGATTCTGTTTCTCTCAGAGCGGGCAGCTACCTGTCTATGCGACACAGAGACCCCAGGGTTGAATGATCATGAACTGAAGCTGTAAATGGGAACTAGCACCATCTGCCTACACCAGGAGGGCAGGTCTGTCTAGAACAATGGACTAGATACCAGGAAGACACAGCATGAAGACACATGTGCCCCAGAGCTCTACAAGTGGACGGTTCTCATTTGGCTTCACTAGAAAGACAGTTCCTAGAAACAGAGGCACTAAATCTTAGGATAGACGTTTCCTTACTTTCTTCAGTGGGAAGAGCTATAATTAATATTCTTGGGTCGACTGTATCTCAGGGTCAGTTATCATTGTTAAGAATTTGAGTTTATTTTGGAACAAACCCCTCATTTTACACAGAGTTTGTGGTATGCAGAACCACCAGCTCATACACTTAAAATGACTGAGTTGCTACAAAGGACATGAAGCCACTGTAGCTCTCCCAATGCTTCTGCTTCCTGTCAGTTGTTGCCTGGAGTAAGCCATTAGCATCACCTCCCATTGTCTTGAGCTATGTTTTTGCTAGTTTAAAAATATGTGGTGAGCTATGACCCCAAATTCTGAGTTGATTCTGAGCTCTTATGAGATGAAGCACACAGAACTGTACAGAACACTATGTGCAGGGAAAACAGGATCAGACAGTCAATCATGTTGCTGGGTTTTTGTTGTTGTAGTTAGTTTTTTTTTGATGCTACTGGGAAGCTCAAAGTAGGAGAGCCTTCAGTCTCACTCCCTTCTCCCCTTAACACCTTAAGTGAGAGCAGCAATAAGCCTGCAAGGGAAGTCTTCCCAAAGTAGCCTGGCAGGTTCTGTCTGTCTCACTTCCGCCTTATCTCCATGAAGCTGAGGCTCAATTTTTGCTGTTGAATTTCAGAAAACAATGTAGACTCTAACCTGTCAAATACGCAATTCAATTAAATTTGGTTAATGTCAAAATATATGAATAAAGTGATTCAAAAATTAAAGATGATATATTTTTTCTCATTCTTCAGATCTCAACTTGAGAATGCATGTTTCAGTATAGACTCTTATATTAAGAATATGTGTATGGATGTTTTGCTTGCATGGGTGACATGTCCCATGTATGTGCTTGGTGTCCATGGCAGCTAGAAGAAGGCATCAGATCCCTTGGAAATGGAGTTACAGGAGGTTGTGAGCTGCTTGACATGTGCATTCCAACCAAAAAGTGTTCTCTACAAGACCAATACAACATCCTCTTAATTGCTGAGCCATCTCTCCATCCCCCTGGCCTTTCTTCCTTTTTTCTTTTCTTTTTATAAAAGAAAAACATGGGTAGGTGTATTTCTTTTCACTTTAATTCTATTAACGACATCTTCTAGAGTCAGAAAGCAAATATAGACAGCACGGTATATACACACACACGCGCGCACATGCACACTACATGTTCTTTGTTGTGTTATTTAGTGGAGGGCTTGCTCAAGTCGATGATCCCTGAAATCTGTAGTACTCTATCCTAATACTGAATCTAAAAAGTTCTTTAGTTCAGGGAACCTCTGAGAACACAACCCATGGTGGAGAAAGGTAACATCTCTCACCTCCTGCTCAGGACCAAGCAGGTCACAGATAGGAGAACACACTCTTCAGGTCTGTGGAGCCCAAGATGGTACTTGGCACTTCTTCAGAGCACATTCTAATACAGTTATCAATCTGTGTCCTTTCTCAGTCATAGCTGCCTGGCTGTTCCCTTTTCTGTCTTCCCCTGAAGCATGTGGTGCTCGAAGGCAGGCAATTTTACCTGCTCACTGCTGGGCCCCAGTCCCTAGAACTGTACCAGTGGATGCACAGCCTCCTGAAGAACTGCACCTTTGGCTGTGTCTGAGCTACCAGGCTGTTGTCCTGCATGTGAAAATCATCCTAATCTGTCACTAGGCCTGGAGAATACAGGCTCTTTCTGCCCCACACTGTCTCTAAATATCTGCAATGTTTCTAGATTCTCCTTAAAGCCTAACACACTCGAGACTGTTCAAAGGATCAAGCCCTTGCTCTTGCTTAGTAAATCAGTCACAGAAGCAGAATGAAGGAGAAACACAACTCTGGGAATTTCTGATGAAGATGCTGCCTTTCAGAAGGGCATCCATGTGAGCCATGTATTCTGAAGGCGATTAGTAATAGTCAGGTCAAGACCATTACAGAACGAAGTAGCAATACAAAGGAGTAGGGACATGTGAGGGCATCATTTTGGGTAAATATCAATGAGACCCAAGCTGTCAAAAACCTAGGGCTAGATGTGCACTGTGTGCACTGATTTAATGACACCTCTCTCTCATGATAAGAGAAGTCCTACGGACCAAAAAAGTCCTTCTAGGACAGTACAAGTCAAACTTAGGAACCAGCTCATCAAGTGATTGCCTAGAGTGCAAAGGTTCCCCAGGTGTCAGGTTTTGAGTCTTCACAGTGCTATCCAATTTAAAGGACGTCTGCCCGTGGGGTAAAAGTTACTAAGCTGGGAACAGACGGAAATGGTGGACCTCACGCAGACACAAACCTTACCTTCTAAGATGTGCATCCTGACCAGCTCAGAGCGGTCGGGGCGGCTCCGGATCTTGTGCTTCAGAAAGTTTTCAGTCTTTAAAAAAAATATTGCTCATGATTTATTGTAGCTTTATATTTTCTTCAAAAATAAATTAAAAACCCTTTTTTGTTGTATCTTTGAGAGAGTAACCAGAAATTAGTGCTTAGGAGAACTAGCATAAGACTTCAATGTAGCCTTCAGTATGGTCCAGGGGTTTGACATGTATTGGTACAAAATAACTACTTTACAGAGCTTTACAGTGAAACTGAGAAAAGCTCAAAATTTTAAGATGAGCTTTAAATAAACATAATATTTAATCCTTTTATATGAAACCAATACTTAGAAAAGTAGAAATTTATTTAGATACTAAAATTCTTAAAAATAATAATGTATTTTATTTGTGTTCTTAGCACAGTCTCTAAAACTGCACTCAATACCCAAACAATAGGTCTAGGAGCTTGTTACTGCTCTCTGGACAGGGATAAGAAACTCCTATAACACTCCATTTTCCTACTGCATTAACAGATCCCTTCCCCCGGCAAAACAGACTTCTTGTCACCCACTTTCTATACACCTAAAAATCCATCTACCCCAGAGTGCGTGCTATCTATACTGCACTTCTTGGAGAGAATGTGTGTATTCTAAATCAATATATTTAGGAATATTGGCGCCTAGGATACAACTGAGAAATAAAGATTTTTTAAAAAGTGAAATTACTTACTCTGGCTCGCTCCAGGCTTTTTATCTGCTCATGGAATGCTGCCGGACTCTTCAAAGCTGTTAGGAAGAAAACAAATGGTTTCCACAGCATAAACAGCACCATATCTTAGCTTGCCACTCTAACCCCGGCAATGCACATCTGTGCTGACATTTATTTACAGTTCCTTTACGAAACCCCTCCAAAATGTGAAGACCTCACTGTTACCCAATGAAATGATGTAGATCACAAAGAAAACAGTGGACATTCCAAACAGAGCTGCTGTATAATAACTGGTAAGTGCCAGGCTGGACCAATCCAAGGCCTGGGGACTTCCATGGTCTTTGTTCATAGTGCTCATACAGGCTGCTAGACAAAACCCATGTGGCCCTGGAACTTGACCATGGGGACACACAGCACTCATTTATTCAGAACTCACAACCGCAGGACCCTGTGGTGAAGCACAGTTATGACTGCTGTTGGTCTCCCAAATAAACTTGCAAGGTGAGTGTGAGCCCCAGCATAAGATGTGTGCAAGTCCCTGAGGTCATATAGCTAAATGCTGGCCAAACTGAGATTTAAATCTTGTATCCTAAATTTAAAGGGTTATGTTCTTTGTATCATGAGGGGATGTGGTATTTGTATTTCAGTCTATCACCTTTGAAGAATCTTGATTTGTGTACATCCAGCACTGTCTTGCAAGAGCAGCACGTGAAAACCATGGGCACAGGCCAGTGAGTGGGAGATAGGACTAGGCTTCCCTGTGAAGGTTGCCTTGAGCATAATCTTTTAGTTTGGTCCTTTGGACACCACAGAGGCTCCCAGGAACCTATCCCTGCCAGCATGGCTGAGGACCAGCTCTCTACACCAGCCTGGGCTGATCTAGCAGCAGTATACCTTAAGCATCATTATCTGAAGCTACTGATTAACCGGCTGGGGGAGGACTGTGGTGGTGGAGATGCCTAGCAGATTTTCAAAGCAGCTTTGGGCGACCACAGCTGGACTTAAGATACTTAGATGACTAACAGTAAGTAGTCTATAAAAACTTCATGGATGACAAAAACTGCTAAACAAACAAAACATTCCTCATCTTCATTAACTGATAAATTATTTCTGGGCTGGAAATGAGTTTGTTTGTTTGCTCTGTAATTTCTAGTGGTTTAAAGTGGGATAAATTAACTTCTAGAAAAGTTAGCTTCTAAACAAAGTCCAGCTATACAATTTCATGGTCTATAGAAAACAACTATTCTTCCCTCTAAAACTCCCAAAGCTGGTGGTTAAAGGTAAAGAAAACAGTTTAGATAAATATTCTAAAATCAACTCTTATGAATTATGAATCTCTTGAAGGAAACAAGTGTACTCAGGCCAGAAAGACCAAACTAACTAGCTGTAAATAGCTTTCTGTCAGTTGCAAATCCGAGATGCATGCAATCAGGTAGATCACAGCCCAGCACCACAGAGAATGACCTTGAGTTACTTCAGGTAGAATTCTGAAGGTCATGGTATCACATTACTCTTACAGGTCTAACCTCAGATGTACCAGCAGAGTTCAAAGTTTGAACAGACATTAAAGCCCACAGTTAAGAATGCCATAGGGAGGCTGGAGAGATGGCTCAGAGGTTAAGAGCTGGCTGCTCCTCCAGAGGTTCTGAGTTCAATTCCCAGTAACCACATGGTGGCTCACAACCATCTGTATTGAGATCTGTCGCCCTCTTCTGGCGTGCAGGCATACATGCAAGTAGAACACTCACTCATATACCTAAAATACATAAATAAATCTTTTGAAAAAGAACTTTACAGTGTCTTAAAGACATTCTTCATTACTGTAAAAGTCAAGCCCACTTTTAAAAAGATGTACTAAGGGTTCTCCTCCTAGCGGGGCCATGCTGTCACCTGGCTCTCCTCACAGATGAGCCCTCGCGGAAACTACAAAGAGATCAGTCCCCACACACCAGAGACAACAGTGACTAGGTCTTACGTGGCATGATGCCCTGGTCCACTAGCTGTTCTCTTGTCCTCCTTTGTTGCAGCCTCAGCTGGAGCACTGTAGGAAGGAAAGAGTGTATTAGCAGCTGTAGCCCCAAGTCCTGCAGTTCCTTTACTAAACACCCACTGTATTATCTAACCAGAAGGAAATCAATTGGGAAGCTGAGTGTGGTAGCCATGTCTGTAACCCCAGCTCTCAATGTGCTGAGGCAAGAGGGCCACTGCAGATCTGAAGCCAGCCAGGTTGCAAACTGAGTTCCAGATATCCTGAACTACATGTAGGGTGAGGTCTTGTCCTAAGAAAGGAGATAAGAAAAGACATTACTTGGCACTAAGTTGTAAAAAAAAAAAAAAAAAAAAAAAATTGTGATTCTGCTTGCTGGTGAATTCTGAATTTACTTAGCAATTCTTTTGTTTAGTTAATAATTTGAATTTATGATGAATGCTAGGCATTTCCTATTTAAATACTTCAAACAGTACTCAAGCAAATTGGTAGTTAGCTTATACATAATGACTTGTTCAAAGGAAATCTCATTCGGAGCAACATATGAGATTCCTTGAATTTTTCTATGTTAATAGTAACAATTTACTTTAAGAAAAGACTGGCTAGTTTGGAAGGACTTCTCCACCAGGAAAGAATTGGAAAGAAATAGTTTTAGTGTTACCTGAATAAATATAAATTAGGCCAGAGAGAAACTTCTAAGTTATGAATTTTAATAGTCTTTGCATAAACACACAATGGCTCTTGCCCTACAAGTACTGAGAGAGCTATAATCAACTGGTGTCGCTGTTCACCACATAGTAATTGTAGAATTGTAGAAATAAGGCCCACATCAGGAAATGCAAACATCCAGTTTGTCAAATTAATTTATTCCCTCCCCCGATTTTTCAAGGAGATTCTTCTTACAGCATCTCTAGTTATTCAATTTAGAAAACAAGTCTATTTTAAAAAGAACACAGCAAGTAAAACAGAAACTTTTTTCCTAGTTATTTTAAGTTGTTTTGCTTTTATTTTCAAATTATGGTTAGGATGACTAGGGGTGTCCATAAACCTTACCAACATGCTAAAACAAAATATGCATGTATCTCTAATGGTGAGGAGAGACACGGTGGACAAAAGGCAGGAGACCCTACGTGCCTCAGGGAGCACAGTCCTGCCTTAGGTTGCACAACTGCCTGAACTGCTCAATGGCTCTTACAAACATCTTCTTATCAATGCTAGATGAGACCTGAACACAGAAATGTGACGGGTTTGTTTTTGAGCCACCAAGTTTTACTGATACTGCATTTAGAGTGTAAAAAGTTGATACAAACTGTGACAGTAAAAGCAATTAAACAGCGTGCATGCGCCTGACACTAGCATTTCTCAGGGATAGAGAGGCTAAGGTGGGTGGTACTTAAGGTGGTCACAGCAGGGAGGATCCCAAGGAACAAATCAGGGTGTCACTTGTCAGCAGCAAGCAGTGTCTGTTCCTCCTTCCCACGGATCCTCAAAGAAAGGTCACAGAAGCAATAATGGCCCCTTAAAAAAGTAAACCCCAAACATAACATGTAGTTAGGAGACACTGAACACTACACTTTCTGCACATTGACATCAAGGCACCAGCAGTTATCCCATCAGCAAGCTTGTGCTTCACACTGGTAACTTCAGGGACCCACAAGCACAGGACAGTCTTGGGTACAACATATCTGCTGCCGTGTGGCCAGCACACAGAATGGATGCATGCCATTCTGATGCATTCCTCGGGCCAACACTCCTTACTGCAAATGCACAGGAGTAGCTCCATCCTTCAATCTGAGGATAGCAACCTGATGTCTACAATTCCAATCAAATCTGACCCTATATACTCTGAGTGAAGGCACGACTCCCTGGACTCTCCCAATTTCAAATACTAGTCCCTAGCCTAGGCTATTCATACTACAACATCCTCCTCAGACTTGAGTATTTGTCTGATTCTTCCACAAAATGCAGGAAGGTGACTTTATTTATGATTACTGCTTTCGTATAAAGGACACAATTAAGAAACAGATCAATGGAAGAGATGCACAGGGAGGGGTCCTCTGCTGGGCTTCCAACCTTCCTCTTATTCCATTTGTGCCTTCCTGGAACTAAAGGTACCCAGAAGTCATCAGGGGCGCCCTGCTACCTATCATCTAATGTACTCCAGATGTTCTCATCATTGACAACACTGAGTAGCCTGACAGAGGAACTGAGGACAAGATCAAGGCTCATAGAAGATGCTTACTCACCCCCTCCTCCTGCCACCTAGGAAACCAGTTTAGGAGCTGTGTGCCAGGAGCTAGAGGCAGAGAATAGATAATACATTTCTCATACCACAGAGAAGAGGCACCAACCACCAATTTTAAAAACAAACACCACACACAAGTCCTGTGTTTTTCACCCAGTTTCCTAGATGGCCAAAATAAGCAACCCCTACACAGCCTAGGCCATTCTGCCTAAACGGAGCAGATGACTTAACTGATGTTCTCAAAATTCCCTGTCTAAGTTCCCCTAACGTGAACATGCACAGCACTGCTCTAAGACCTCTGCTGTACGCACTGCTGGAGGAGGCAGACTTAGAAGCAGTGAGTTATGTCTGTTGGCCGCCTAGCTCCTTTACCCTGTCTATACCCAAAGGGAGACAGTAAGGGACACAATATCTAGTACACAGGTGCAGGTAGACAGGGGCATAGGCCAGTTGTAGTGCTTGGTGGACATTGGCTGAGGAGGGTGGGGAACAGAGACACCTCAGTACACTGCAAATCTTGGTGAATTTGAAAATACTACTACCGAATTGGTTCATATTACACACGACAGGTGAGGAGCAGTGAGGTCAGAAGGCACTGGTTATACAGAACCGCACAGCATAGACTGGTGACTTTAGAAAAGAGCAACTTCCTTTAGTACTCTACTCGCCAACTTAGTAGGACGCACAGCACAGAGCACAGGCTGGCAGCCGGGTGCAGCACACTGGGCGGCAGAGGTTGGGCAGAGTGTATTTATTGGTGCTTTTCAGGGAGTGTGAAAGGAATCATGGAGCATGAAACCTTGACAACAGAAGATGTGACTTTTCTGACCACAGAGGTGTCAATGGCTGTGGCCGAGATGCCTGACCAGGAAGGTCCCCTGCAGGCGTAAGTCACAAACAATGCCAAACCAGTTTGGAATTATGATTAATAGGGTGGTATTTATTTAAAGGAGAAAAAACTTACAGATCACCGTCCCAGACAACTGCCCTCTGCACAATCAGGAAGGAGTCTAGTCCCCGGAAACGAAGCAGGAAGCGAAGAGAGCGAGAAGGGAAGTGGCCACTTTTTTAAAGGGAGAGAGACCACGCCCCAATGGGCTGTTATCTCAGCGGCTATAGGCTGGAGGAGCAGAAGGACCTCCCGAAACACCTCCCCCTTTTGTTTAAGTAAGAGAGTTCTAAACCTACTATGAAATGATATACAATAAGTACAAATATCCTATTCTAACTAGCTTAGGTCTTGTATAATAAATAACTTGGCCAAGTCATGAGAGAAAAGTAACTACATTTATATAGTCTTCAACCCCATCGAAGATCTGAGAAGGGAAATGATGTTACCTGGGTAATTAGGAAGTTCAGTAAGACAACTTCCAAAACATGCAACAAATCACAGAGACAACTAGCTACCTGGGCAATCACCCAAAGTCATGTTTGCAGCGTTGAAGCAACCAACATTGGCTAAGGCCTAACATAACTGACATACCATTTTCAAAGGCAAGCAACTTTTCAAAACTATCTTACCCTGTCTTGGCAGGATATGACAGCCCTGTTTTATCCATTGATGCACGCTCAGTATCTCTGTCAGTGGTTGAGGTATGGGCATTTCTTTGCCCAAACGCCAGTTCTGCCAAAAAGAAAGGCTCCAGGTAGAGTGTCTTTGGTGCTCAACATTCTCTTGGGAATAGAGCGGTGTTGCCAGGAGCAATTGTGTCTCACTATCATGAAATTCTGAGTTAGATTAAAGGCCATTTTCTACAGATCTTTGAAGAGGTTGAAGATTATCTATCTATACTGAGTATAATATCTATATATCTAAAGAACCTGATTAGTCTAATTATAAATGACAAACTTAGATGACTACTAATCTATATAATTCTCAATATCTATCTAACTTAAAGACTAAGACAATAAACAACTGTGTAACAAATGAGGATAATGACCTCCAAATATAAACACTGTACAAATATACATTGCAATATGGTAAATATATATCAATACACAAACATTATATAAGTATCTTAATCAGAGGTAGAAATGTACACTGCAATATGGTAAATATATACAATATATATATATATATCAATACAATATATGTCAATACATAAAAATGTTTTAACCAGAGGTAGAAACATGCATGCATACAATAATCAATATAACTTAACTTTGTATCAATATACAAGAATCAATACCTATATATTTGTCTAAAAACAGTAACTCACAATTATAAATTATCCCATCATCCCTCTTTTTTTTCTTTCAAAATGATACCTGAGCTTATAAAATTCCTCCCCCAACCTCCCAACCCCTAAATGATGTCCCTAAACCCAGGGGCAAACTTTACTGGGAGAGGGGACGTCGTCCTCTAGAATTACTTCCAGATGTCATGGGGGCGACGTTCTTTGTGGGGGATTCTGTGAAAGTAAAATGATGGTTGAATTTCAAGATCAATGTCTTTTAAAATTGCAAATAGTCTCTGAGTATTTTGTGGAGGTCAGGCCAGAATCTTGTACAAGATGTGCACCATTTCAGCTAACCAAGTTGGGATAGTCTTGTGCAGCTGGTAACCAAAACAGGTCTTGTAGTAGCGCTATCAGTATCATGACGTCATATCAACCAGGTGGAGTTGTTGTTATGGGGCCCCATCTTCTTCCTGGAAACTTCAAATGTCACTTCAGGAAAAACTCATTGTTCATTGTGAAAAACTAAAACATTAATCATATAGACATATATACACATACATATATATATTCAATGAAAGGCATGATAGATATAGTCAATGAAAAGTATGATAGATATGAAGAAAATCAAA